CTCTCCTGCCCCTTTGGGGCCCAAGGGGGCCCCCTTAGGGCACAAACGGTGCACCTCTCTGCACCCTAGATTTACCACACCCCCATTACTCAACGCCCGATTCCCCGGCACTTGCCCCACCCCAGGACGTCCGCATGAGCTCCCGGGAGGAGCACACGTAGAGCTGCCTCACGCGCAAGAGCAGGAACGCGCAGGGCAGAATGGCAAGCAGCACCTTCGCACCGGACGCGTGGGGGGCCTGCCTCGTCGTCGTCATCGTTGTCCTCCTCCTCCTTCTTCCCCTCTTGTCTCTTAGCCAGGCCATGGGGGCGACACGCTCGCAGCGTCAATCCTCGTCCTCCCCGTCCTCCTCGCCCTCTCTCGGGGAGACCGAAGACTCGAGTGATTTGCCCGACGGGGCCGTCGGGAGAAGAAGGGGACCTAAAGTGACATTGCGCCCCCCCTCACCCGCCCGAGATCCCGCGCGCGATCCCACTCGGCCAGGCTGTCCACGTCCACATCTGAGGCCGTCTGCTTTTCTGAAGCGCGTGCTCGCTTCTCTGGTCTGCTTTTTCCCCTCCCTCCTGCATGGCGGCACAATGCGCTGCACGCGTACCCCCGCTTAGGTAGGCCTCCGCCAGCGCAGTAACCCTGCCTGACACTTGACACTCCCGCGCGTGGGCACCGTCAGGGGTGCTGCGGGTGTGGCGCGGGAGCGCCGCTCAGCGGAAAACCTTAGAGGAAGAGGACAAGGAGGAGGAGGAGGAGACGAGAGGCTATCCGCTTGGCCCGACCAGTCGTGGTGTCGGACGAGACCTGGTTCCAGTGTATCCCAATCTCCCGTCACCCTGCCTAGCCGACGCAGAAAGCTCCTTTTTCTGGTGTCCAAGATGGCCTCCCCCTGCGCCCCCTTTTGGAGCCCTTCGGGCCTCGTGCGTGGGCGCCTCCCGGACCTCCGCGGGCCCGTGGGGACCTTAAGAGACCTGCGGAGGCGTCTCCGCGCCATGCTCGAGGCCGTCCAGAAGCGTGCGAGGGTGCCCCACGGGTGCCCGAGGGTGTCCGAAGCGTCCTTGGGCCAGCCGAAGCCGTCGGAGCTACGCACAGCCGCCCGAATGCAAGACAGGGCAGGTGCTGTCGGGACAGGGGATCGGGGCGGACGAGCGGGGGGAACGCAGAGGGAGGGTGAGCGAATCAGTTCGCGCAGCTGTTTCTTCCCCGCGTCCTGGGTGGGACTCTGGTTTTCTGTCCCACCCGCGCCGCGCCCGCGACACCTTCTACACCTCACCTCCTTTCTCCTCCTCGCAAGCACATGCGCACAAACACGCACACATACACTTTCACATGCACGTCACGTGCACATGGACATCCACGCAGATACACTATACATGTACACACACCAAGGGCAGGGCAGAAAGGGATGCGAAAGGGGTGCGGCCTCGATCCGTTTTACCGAATCTCGTGTGGCAAGGGTGGCACCAGCGGGGTAGCTCAGAGGGTGCGGTCTCTAGCAATCTCACTGTATATCGCGTGGCACAGGGTGGCACTTCCTCGCCACCAGAGAGCGTGTGCAGATGTGCGGTCTCATTCCTTTCACCGTGCACTGTACGCCAAGGGTGGCGCGTTTTTCGCCACCAAGAAAGGTCGCGCAGAAGGTGCGGTCTCGATCCGTTCTACCGTATACTGTGTGCAAGGTGGTACTTCCGCACCACCAAAGGGGGCACGCAGGGGGGCGGCCTCTGACTCGCTTCACCGCATTATTGCGTGGCGGGGGTGGCTTCTTCGCTGCCAGAAGGGCTGCGCAGGGAGTGCGGTCTCTGCCCGTTTCACCGTATCTTGCGTGGCAAAGGCTGTGCTTCCTCGCCCGCCCGGAAGGGGCGAGCAGCGGGCTCGGTTTCTGTCGATTTCACGGTGTGTTGCGTGGCACGGGTTGTGCTTTCTCGCCACCAGAAGAGGTGCGCAGGGGGTGCGGTCTCTGCCCGCTTCACCGCACACTGCGTGGCAATGGTGACACTCCCTCGCCACCAGAAAGGGGTTGCGCAAGGGTGCGGTCTCTAGTCGCTTTACAACGTACGTATATGTGAATAGATAAATATTGTGGCAGGGGTTGCACTTCCTCGCCGCCAGAGGGTGTGTTCAGGGGGCGCGGTCTGTACACGTCCCACGCTCCTGACTACGGCGTGGCAGGGTGGCACTCCTTCGGGTGGCAGTGGAGGCGCTTTGGTAAGATGAGCATGCCCACAAGAAACCAACACCAAGCATGTGGGGTCCTTTCGGTGGCGCCCGAAGCGCCACTGTACAGAGGAGAGGGGGCGGCGGCGGGGCCGAAACCAACTGCTTGCACCAGATTTCGCCCCCCCCTCCACAGGCAACCCCTCGGGCCTTCTCAGAAACTTTCGGTGCCTCCGGGGAGGGCTCAGCGAACTTTTCGGAAGACCCGAAGCCAGAGGGCTCGCCCCGTCTCACTTTCCCCCTGGGCTCGCAACCGAACTCCCCCCCCTTTCGTCCGACACGGGAGGATCGGGCCGGGCGAAAGGGAGGGATAGCAAAAGGGGGGGTTTGATAATCAGCTCGCAGCTGATTTTCCCGGCGCCTCCCGGCGCCGGAGACGGCTATATATCGAGGAATGGGCCCCTCGGTGTGGCCGAAACCAACTTCATACAGCAACTTTCGTAACCCCCCCTTTCCCAATCCCCCCCTTTCGCCCGACGCGGGAGGAGCTCCCCCCTACCACTCCGGTTCCACGGGATTTCCACGGGAGGCACCATGGGGAACACGACGACGCAGACAAGCAGAGCGGTGCCCAGCACCGCCACGTCCTGCAAGAACTCCAGGGCCTGATACGGCAGCAGCGTGTCGACCGCGTCGAGGTCCTTCCGAAGGACGTCAACTGACCGCCACACCGACCCTGGCCGGGGATTTTCTGACCTCGGTCAATCCAGTCCCAGGTCAATCAGGCCTTGCAGAATCCTGCAAGATCCTGCCCCAAACCTGGATCAATGCGAAGGATCCTGCAAGATCATGCGCCCAAACCCGGGTCAATGCGCCCCTGGCCCTGCAGGATCCTGCAAGATCTGGCGGCGCTCTGGCTGACCCCCGTCTGCATTGACCCCCGTCTCAAGGCTCTCGACCTGGCCTGCCCACCCTGGACCTGGGGTCGTTGTCGATGCTCCCTGGGCCAAGCCAGGACTGTGTACACGCCTTTCCCAGGCCCAGGGTCGACCCCGCCCAGGATCGGTGCGGTGGTCAGCCGACGCCGCCCAGTCCTTGCCGAAGAAGTTCAGGAGCCGCCCGGGGGGCATCACGTCGAAGAACGTGTGGATCGGCGCCCTGCAGAGGCCCTCCAAGAGGCGGGAGTGGACCCTCCTGGAGGAGCGCCTCGCGAGCGCCGTGAAGACGAGGGCTCGGGCCAGCGCCAGCAGGAACGTCAGCGCCACCATCAGCGAGAAGCGCAGAAGCGCGGTGCCGTCGACGGTGGCGCCCTGCTCCTCCAACACCTGCGCGAGGTAGAGCTCCGCGAAGACGCGCACCAGGTCCGGAAGCGCCAGGGCCACCATGACCAGCACCAGCAGCGCCGCCGACGTCGCCGCACCACCGCCTGGGGTGGGAGGGGGAACGATAAACAGGAAGGGGACCGGCTCCTCGGGGTTGGGTGAGGCCTCGACCTGGCATCGGCGGTGCGTCGCCGATAGGTCGGCGACAGGCACCCGACAGCGAAACCGCGCGTTCCTGGGCGGGATGGGCCACCCCGCCGCCCCGCGTCGGCGACTGGGCCCGGCCCTCCGCTGTGGCTGCCCCGGACCGCCGCGCCCCCCGAGGCCGAAGTAGTCCCGATACACGCTCGGGTGCAGCGGCCCGCGCTTCCGCACCTCCGCCTCGTAGAGCCTGCTGGCCACCTCCCCCGCGCGCGCCTCCGGGGCCGCCCCGCCGGGGGGAGGGCCTGCCGCGAGCTCCTCTGCGCCGACGCCCGCCGGCAGCCCCCGCGCGATCCAGGAGGGGCTCGCGCCCTCGGGCTCGCCCTCGTGCTCGGCGCGCTCGGTCCGCCCCGCGGCCAGCAACTGGGCAAACTCGGTCGCCTCGAACTCCTCCTTGCGCCGGAAGGCCGTCGCGACGCCCTGCTCCACGAGGACGATCACCTGCGCGACGAAAACGGGTCTCATACACGATGACGCAGCGACCTTACGCCGCGGCTTGGCGCGGCAAACTGCGTCGGGAACGAGGGCGCTTACGCGCGACCTAGCGCGGGACGCTGGCGCGCCAACGTTCGCGCAGTCGGCCCCGTCTTCCCCAAGTATAGGCTCACCTACGGGGTTCTTACTTGGTTATAAGGTTGGTGCCTCGGAATGTTCCTTTGACCGCTGTTCGGAGGTTCCCCGGGTTCCCCACACCCCGTGCCTCCTATTCTTACGCTGCCCATTTCTCGGAAACTCCTCGGGTTCACCGGGTTCCCGGGGTTGCCTGGGATCACGCAATACCAAGCACTGCCAAGCAGTGCCACAAGCAATGCCACAAGCAAGGCCAAACAATGCCAAGCAATGCCACGCTCTGCGCCCATGCATTCGGAAACTTTCCCCTAATTGGGGTCGCGCCGAGTTCATCTTCCGCCGCTCACCTGCGCGTGGGGCAACAACGCCTCGTAGTGGGAGTTGAGGACCGCCACCCGCGTCCGCCCCGCCAGGTGCCCGAGGACGGTGCCCTCGACGAGCGCCTCGGCGGTGGCCTGGTCCAAGCTGGAGAGCGCGTCGTCCAGCACGTAGGCCCGCGCGCCCTGCAGCGCCAGGGCGCGCGCGAGGGCCAGCCGGGCCTTCTGCCCGCCACTCAAATTGAGACCACGGAAGCCGATCTCGCAGTCCGCGCCGCCCGGGAGCGCGCGGACCTCCTCCTCGAGAGCGGCGAGCCGCAGGGCCTGCCACAAGCGCTCCTCGTCCCCGCCCGCGTGGCCGAGGACGTTCTCCCGCACGGTGCCGCTCAGCACCCACGGCTCCTGCGGGCAGAAGGCCACCGGGCCCGCGGCGCCCCCCTCGAGCTCCCCGGAGACGCGGGGCATCCACCCGAGGAGCGCGGAGCACAGGGAGCTCTTGCCGCCGCCCGAAGTGCCGACCACCACAGCCAGCTCTCCAGGGCGCACCTCCAGCCCGGGCGCCCGCAGCTCGTCGCGCCCGGGCCGCCCCTGCGCGCCGCCGCTGGCCCAGGCGAAGACGCCGTCCGCGACCTGCAGGCGCGCAGGCTCGGGCTCGGCCGTGGCGTCCGTCGGGGGTGGGCGGGCAGCGTCTTCGGGGCCGGCGCCGCCGCCCGTGCTGCGCTCCTCGCGGAGGAAGCCCTGCACGCGGCCCAGTGAGGCCAGGCCCTCCGACAGCGCCGCGAGCTCGAACGGGATGACCTTAGAAGAGGGAAGCAGCATACACAGATTGCACTGCCAGGGGTCCGCGCGGACCTCCGAGCATCGATTCCCCAAACAATGCTTGCCGCTCTGGCGGCTAATGTTCCCGCCATCGCCGCCCCGTCGCCGCCTCGTCGCCGCCCGTCGCTTGGGCATGTCAGCCGTTCTGGCGGCTATGATGCCGCCGTCTCCCCGTCACCGCCTCGTCGCCGCGTGTCGTCAGGGCATGTGTGCCGGTCTGGCGGCTATGTTGCCGCCGTCGCCGCCCCGTCGCCGCGTCGTCGCCGCCCGTCGCGTGGGCCTGTCTGCCGGTCGGGCGGCTAGGTTGCGCCGTCGCCACCGCGCCGCCGCCTAGATTGCACAACGTAGGTTGTACAACATAGATTGCACCGCGTATATTGTACCTCGTTAGTTGTACCACATCGATTGCGCACCAAATCTTGCACCGCATCTATTGCAAGTCTACTGCGCGCACGCCATATAGATAACACCACACATATTGAACCACATATGCTGGACCGCATAGATTGCACAACGCAGTCTCCTTTCAAGAGAAAACGGACCCCCCCCCCGGGATTATCGACCCCTCTTTCGTATTGCAATTTAATTTTGATTCCGCCCCCTCGCCCATATGAGCTCGCAAAGGGGGCCAGTATCCGCCCCCCCCCGCCATCCCCTGCAAACACCACCATGCGCGCGCACGCGTTTATCAAAGACCATAAGGTTTCAACCATCCCTTGCAACATTTGAAACGAAGTGCGCACGCGCGGGTCAACGCGCGCACGTGTCGAAATCCTTTCAGACAACTTCGGCTTCGTGGGTTTCAGAATCGAGCGTCCCCAAACACATACAAAAAGAAAGGGTTTCGCAACACGGATCTTCAAATAACAAAATGCGTGCGGGCTCTTGCGACTTCTTCAGGAAACCATGCGTTTGCGTTTGTCTCTTGATTTCTCGTTCGGAAAATTGCTACGAAACGGGCCTCGCGCGCGCGTGTCCAAATCTTTTGAACCGTCGCGAGAATCCGCTGCAAGAAATTACACCAAGTGTGCGCGCGCACGTCGTCGCGCGCGCGTGCTGGAATCCGTCAAACACCCTCGGCTTCGTAGCGATGTCAAAACCGGGTGCAACATCAATTTTTCCAAAAAACGTGCGTTCGCGTTTTTGGGGTTCTTGATGCCAAACGGGCCTCTGGCGCCACATGCCAGCATCATTCGCGCGCCCTGCGTGCGGGGGGGGGGGCACGATTGCCAAATAGTACCATGCGGGCCATTCTCGCGCTCGGCCGCGCGCGCATGTCGAACTCTTTTCAAAACCTTCACCACCAACGCGAGGACGCCATCTTCTACCGCGCCCGCCCAAGCCGCCGACTCGCAGTGAATTGCCCTCTGGGACGTGCCCAACGTCAGCGCCACCGCGGCCGCGTCGGTCGCGCCAAACTAGCTGGCCGCTGCACGCGCGCGTTTGGGTTGGCGAGGCCGCGGAAATGCACCAGCCAACGCCAACCACTCATCGCAATCGCCACAGCATGGACTTTGCAAACCAAGTTGCGGGTGGGCGGGTGGGATGATTGCAAGAGCATGGGATGTCAACTCGATTGTGAGAACCAATTGCACAACATATGTTCATCACGCAGATAGTTCCACATCGATCGCGCCACGTCGATTGCACCGCATCGATCGCACCACATATATTGCACAACGCACATTGCACCACATAACTTGGTCCACGCAAATTGCACCAAGTCGACTGCACACCATGGGTCGCGCGGCATATATTGCACAACGCAGATTGCGCCGCAAAGATTGCACAACGTAGATTTCGCAACATCTATTCCACCATCCAAATTGCACCACGTCGGTTGCGCCACAAAGATTGCGCACCATTGCGCACCACATATGTTGCACAACATTGATATCACCACGGATGCTGGATTCCAACGTGGGTCTGCTACTACAGAGAAGGCCATGAAATAAACGTTGAAACACATAGTCTGCCTATCCGTGCATATGCGGTCTGGCAAAAAGGGGCGGCACCAACGCGACGCCTTGGACCGTCGTGGAGTCGAGCCCTTGGCCTGGAAACGCGCCGCGCACGACTACCCAGATCATGAAGTTCTGCAACCGATCGCTGTGTTCTGGGGGGGTGTGCGGACACGCAAAACACTGACCAGCTGAGCGTTAGCTGGCGCCCTCGTCATCCTCATGCCCCAGCCCCCCGTCCCCCCAATCTCCTTTCGTTGTCGCCCCACTTTCCCCATGCCCCTTCCGAACCCCCCCAGTCCTCATCATGCCCTTCATCCTCTTTGTCAACCCCCCCATATGCCAGCTCATGTCGTTCCTCGTCGTCCTTCTTCACCGGATGAGTTCCCCCATCATCCACGCGCCTGCCCTCCTCCCTTCCTTTACGCCCTAGTGCAGATCATTCCCTTTCTTTCCCCCCCCTGCCCCTCTGGCCCCCGTGATGCTGACACCGATGATGCTGCTCCTCCTGGGCCCATTTCCTCCCTTCTTCGTCCTGCCCGTTTCATCCCCGGCCCATTCGCCACCCCTCCTCTCGAACCCTTTCCCCCCGTAGCCCAACATCCCCCCACCCCGGCGCGTCTGCCCTCCCAGACCGCGGTCCTTTCCTGGACCGGCCGGGAAATCCGCAGAAATTCCGACCCGGTGACCACTGTGGCGAACGGCGCGCAACAGATGCACTGTTGGACACACGAACTGTGTACTTCGACCGCGTACAGCGCCTCCCCTGGACCAGCCGATACAGAAACATGATAATTCCCGCCCAGTCAACACCACCCGCGAAGGGCACACTCCAAATACACAGGGGGGAGCGAGATCTGTGTACACAGATTACACCACGATCTGTGTAAACAGTAGACCCACACACAATTACACAGTTGAAAACATTAACTGTGTACACATGTCAAACCTGGATCTGTGTATTTCGAAAAAAATGACGCCCGCCACCTCGAGGGTACTCCGACTTTGAAAACCCAGAACCGAAGTCGACGTGCCCAGTTACGGGGTGCAAATACACACTTCCCCGGCCTACGGCGGCCCCTAGGGAGCTGCAAATACACTCGTCCCTCGCCCAGCCCAGCCACGTTGAAGCGCGGCGCCTAAACGGTCCCCAGCGGCCCCACGACGTCACAAAAAGGCCCCGGATGACCCCAAACAGTGCCGCGCAGCATCCCGAGAACACGAAAGGTGTCACATGTCACGGACCTTTTTAACAATCGAAGCTCCACGCGTCGCCCTGCGCTGGTTAGGGGGCGGACCTTGCCGCAAGCACTTATACATTTACACGTTTGCGATGCAGCTGTGTTTGGCGGCCGCGCCGCCCGCGTTTGGGGTGCGCCCAGAACGCTTGCATCGGCAATCCCCTCTGTTTGGTTGCGCCGCCGTGCTCGAATGTCGAGAAGGCGGTGTACCGCTGAAACGGGCACGCGGCACCAGGGACTTCACTTCCCTTCTTCGAACAAGGAGGGGAGACGAGGTAATAAGGACGACGGACGGCGCATCAGGGGGGCAAAAAGGGACAAGGAAAAATGGGGGATGTGGAATGGGGCGCTCTCCCGCCCAAGCCGCGGACGCTTTCGACACCATCCACGGGGTAGAAGAAAGGAGGGGAACGGAGCAAGGGCGAGGACGACGACGGGAAACAAATTGTCCTCGGTCCGCACATCGCCACATGTTTGCGATCAGGGCTTGCGCGCTTCCTTCGAGGCAACTCCAACCCGACCCATACTGAATTCACTAATCACTCCAAACCGTGTAAACATTCTGTCCTCTGCACCCCCTCCTATACAACTGCCTCGAAACAGAGGGGCAGAGGATTCCAACTGTCACACATAGCGTATCACAGATACTGCCCCACAAATATTGGACTACATATTCAGCACAGCATAGATGGCACGCCATGTGTTATTGCACAACATCGATTGCACCACGTAGTTTGTACCACACATGCTTCCTCATATAGTTTGCAAACAGATATTGCCAGAGACGCCCCTGTTTGGGGTCCGCGCTGGCTAACGTATGCTTCTTCCGATTCTCACAGCGCTCGTGCTACCAGAAGGGGCGCTGAATAATAAGGAACGAAAGGGGTTTCTAATTAGCCACGGCGAGCGTCGGCCACGAACAGTTTCCCCGAACTCAATCTGAGGAGCGGCCCGGAAACCAGAGCCCCTCCTGAGCCCAAAGCGGTCCTTGTTTCAACTTCCTGACTTTGTGCTCCGAGGGATGACCATGAAGACCACGCGGTTGGCGTTCAGGAGCGCCAGCGCAGCGAAAAGCCCTGGCAGAGTGACCTGCTGCTGGCCCTGCCGGGCCACCACCAGCACTGCGAGGAGGCTGAGGTGGACGAGGCAATACGTGAACGAGCCGTTCAGCGCGCGGAGGAGCAGGACCCGGCGCTGGCGCGCGAGCTCCACGCCTCTCTCGCCACAGATGCGCTCGCTCAGTACGCCCTCCAGCCCCATCATCTTGATGCTCCGGATGTTCTCCAGGAGCTCCTGCGTGGCGGCCAGGCGCCGATCCGAGGCCGCCTGCATGTCCCTTCGCGCAGACACCAGCCAGCCCATGAACACGCGCTGCACCAGGGTGCCGCCCACCAGCACCGCGCAGCCGCCGAGCCCCGCAGGCCCGAGCACGAGCACGAGGAGCAGCAGGCACGCCGTGACCATCAGAAAGTCAATCCACAGGAAGAGGCCGTAGTGGCAAAGGATGTACGCCCGCTCGCAGTCCACGCTGACGAGCGTCGAGCAGAAACTGCTGAGAGCGTGGGACCCGATCCTGGCGCAGGTGCCCCCGCCGAGCCGCAGGACCTGGTGGTACACGGCGCAGGCCAGGGCGCTGCGGACCTCCACGCCGAGCGCGGAGTGGAGCCGGTGGACGCAGGCGATCACGAGGCCGGTGCAGGCGATGCAGGCGGAGGAGGCGGCCACAAAGGCCCAGCCCCTCAGTTCGTCGCCCTCCCGCAGGAGGCACTCGAGGACCTGCCCCATCAGCAGGGGCGGCAGCTCCATGAGCAGCGTGCCCGCGGCGCCCGCCAGCGCGGCCCAGGCGAGCGCCCGCGCCCATGCCTGGGAGGACGACGTAAACGCATTGGACCACAGGACCTCTCGGAGATCCGCGCGGATGTCTTGGATCGGCACTGGACTCCCCTCTCTGGCGCGCGGAGCGCGCCAGGGGCGGCCAGGGGCGGCGCCTCCAGGGCCCAGCGCAGATCCAAGGAGTCCAGCGCGGACCTCCGACAGTTGATTTGCTAGCCTGGAACATATCCCTATCCCTAAGCTGGGCATCGCCTCATCACAATGCCAATCTTAGGGATTCCCTTAGTTTTTCAGGGCGCATCCCTAAGATTGTCATCGCCTTTTGGCGTGTCAATCTTAGGGATAGGGATAAGTTCGAGCCTGGTGATTTATGTGCATGCGGCATGGTTCTTCTTAGACTTCCAACGAGAGCGCTCTCGGCAGCGAGCGGCGCTTCGCGCCCGCAGGCGCCGACCAACACCGCCAGAGCCTGGCGGCGACCCGGGCGCCCTGCGCCGGGCGAGGCACTGGCCACACGTCCTGCTAGCGCGGGAGGATCGGGGTCCACCAAAGGGGGAGGGGACCCTGAGGGGGGGGGGGGGTTCGTTCCGTGGTGCATCGAATTTCCGAAAACCATGCCCCCCCGCGCGCCCCGATTGTCGACGCCTCTCGCGTTCCGGCGGCGCCTGGAGACCTCGTTTTGCATAGTTTTTCTGCGCTTCGATGCGCCAACGTACCGAACTCCCCCCCCCCCCATTGGCACCCCCCTCCCCTTCGCGAGGCTCCGAGAGGAGAGACTCCTCATCCTGAGCCAGGGCTTGAAGGTCCCAAGGCCCAGGGGAAGCCCCCCGGAGGCCGAGGACGACGAGCAAAACTCCAGGGGCCCGTCCCGCAGGACCCGCTTCTTTCTTTGCCGGGCATCCTGGTCGGACAGCGGGCGGCGCTGGCCGAGCCGCAGCAGGGGCCAGAGCCAGATCAGCAGCCACCGCGACGCGGCGCCCGCCTCCTCCAGCGGGTGCTGCTGCGAGGCGAACGCCTCCGGCGGAGAGGCAGCGCCCATCGCCCAAATGGGGCCCCCACCTGGAATATCCCGGCGGCCCGCGGGGCGGCGACTGGCGTTGGCCCAAAGAGCTACGCGCAGACACTCACATAGACACGCAAACACCCACACTGACGCGCAAACGCAAATCTGCACGACCCTGTCGGCGTGCACGAGAGGCTGTTTAGTTTGATTCGTCGTCGTCGTCGTCGTCGCCGCTCCCCGATTCTCCCTGGGCAGTCCTCCTTGAGCGCGACAGCCGAAGCAAAACAGCCCAAGCGAAATTGGGCAACATCGTAACTGCTACGATTGGAAACCCCTTCCCTTCCTCCCTTCCCCGGCGAGGGGGAGTCCCGGAGGGGGGGGGCCCTTCCCTCCCTTTCATCCCTCCCTCCCTTTCATCCCCTTCATCCCTTCCCCGACCCGGGGAGGGGTCCTGGGGGGTCGTCCCTGGGGGTGGTCCAGGGTCGAGGCCCCCAGGCGCCCCCAGGGAGCCAGCAGGAAGCCCCAGAGTGCTCCCAACAGGCTGCCAGGACACCCCCACCACTTGGCACCGGAGGCTCACAAGAGCGCCCCAGAGAGACTTCAGGAAGCATCGGGGCCCTCATCCGTCAGCGCGCCAACCCAAGCAACAGTGCCACAACGAAATTGAGCAACGTCGCGGTTGAGCAGTAAGGGAGCACCTTCGCATCCCTTCCCCGCCTGGGAAGGAATCGTGCGACACTTAGTTGGTGTGATTCGGTCAGTGGGTTTTTTTTTCGTGACGTAACCAACCGAACGCAATGTAAACGACATGCAAGAAGTGGGAACTACGTCCCACGTCGACGTCATCACACGGCAACGTTTTGTCCGCCGGCCCCCTTGTGGGGCCACCAGGCTGTAGGCCGAAGTTTCCCAGCTTCCTGTGCCAGTTGCAGCTTCCCGTCTCCAGTATTACCGTTCTGCTTTTTGTTGCTTACTGATACAGCTTTGCTTCTTGTTGTTTAATGTTCCTGGTTGATGGACCGCGCGACGGGGGGGGGGCAAAACAAACATGAATTTTTACCACGCCCTGAACGTGTTGTTTGACTTGCTGGGGTGGCTAAGAATTAACACCTCTCACGCAGATCGGAGGGGGCAGGGTCCAAAAACAGATTTACCACATTCCTGAATCCGGCGACGCCCCTTATGCAGATCGGCGGGGTCAGGGTCCAAAAAACATGAGGGATTTGCTACATTGTTGCAATGTGCTAGCACCCCTCACGCAGATCGGCGGGGTGAGGGTCTAAAAACACATTGAATTTGCAACATGTCGGATCTTCGGTGGCACCTCTCATGCAAATCGGCGGGGTGAGGGTCCAAAAACATATTAGATTTGCAGCATGTCGTACATTCGTTGGCACCCTTCACGCAAATCGGCGGGGGCAGGGTGCAAAAACACATGGGATTTGCAACATTTCAAAACATCCGGCGGCGCCTCTCACGAAGATCGGCGGGGCCAGGGTCCCAAAGCACAATGGATTTGTAACATTTTTGACATTCCAATGGATTTGCCACATCTCTAAAATTGGCGGGCACCCCTCACGCAAATCGGCGGGGTCAGGGCCCACAAACATATGGGATTTGCCACATTTCTGACAGTCGGTGGCGCCCCTCACGCATATCGGCGGGGTGAGGGTCTAAAAACACTTGGGATTTGCCCCATTTCTGACATTCGGTGGCGCCCCTCACGCAGAGCGGCGGGGTCAAGGTCCAAAGACATAAAAAATTGTCGTTTTTTTTGATATTCGGTGGCGCCCTCACGCCGCCGGCCCATCTCAAGCTGGGACCAGGGCGTCAACCGTCTAAAAAAAATAATCTTGGGCCCGAGCCCTTTCCTGGAAAGACCAGTTGGCCCGCGCCACTTCTGGGAAACAGAATTCCGCTGTTCAGTCGGGTCGCGGAGCGGCGCCCGCCAAATTGAAACGCGACGCGGCGCCGGTGACTGGCGCCGACGCCCAGCCGCCAGCGAGAAGGGTGCTGGAGCGGCACAGACTGGGGGGGCGGGGGGGGGAGCGGGAAGCCAGGGCGGCAGAGGCACGAGCCGTGGGCGCCGCCACCGCCGCGGTGTTTCCTCGCTTCGCAGTCGAGCGGAAACCCCGCCGCCGCGATGGAAGCGGTCCCTGACGGAAGCGGGCCCAGAACCCTGGAGTTCCCGCCGGGACTACACCGGTCGATTTTCGGCTGCCTCGGGGCCCGCCGGGGGCCTGTGGGCCCGAAGGCGGGAAAATAATCGACCCACGAACCCGGAAAGGAATCTAGAAATGTGAAGCATGGCGACGTCGTCGAAACACTTGATTGGGCGACGGGCAATGGCAATGCTGGATGTATCGATGTTGATGTACCGTGCCAAGGGCTGTGCTGTACGGTGCCGTGTTGAGTTGTGATGTGCCATGCCGCGACTGTGCTCTATAGCGTTGTGGATCGAGTCCTCCTTTGCATCCGCGTCCTGACCGAACCGATCTGGATCTTGAGCTCGACCTGCCTGAGCAGATTTTAGCTGCCCCAACTAATTGACAGGGGGACCTGCCAGGGGGGCGCGCCGCGGAACGTCCCAAAGGACGCGCCAGGGGACGTGCCGTAGGGACGCACCGCGGAACGTGCCTTGGGGACGCGCTGCGGAACGTGCCAGTGGACGTGCCGTTGGTTGTGCCAGGGGACGCGCCGCGCAACTTGCCAGGGGGACTCGCCACGGGACGCGCCGGGGAACGTACCAGGGAACGTGCCAAGCGACGCGCCAAGGCGTTAGGGAACGTGCCACGGGACGCCCCTGACCCAGGGCCACGATCCCTCGTACGTTACACTGCGTCCGCGCTCCCAGGGCCATGATCAAACGTAATGTATGCATCGTCCGCTCTCCCTGGGCCACGACCCCTTGTAAACTATGTTGCGTCCGCTCTCCTGGGGCCACGATCCCTCGTAAACTACGCACGTCCCCAATAAACTACGCTGTGTCCGTCCCCTCTGGGCCACGATCCCTGGTAAACTACGCTGCGTCCGCGCTCCCAAGGCCACGATCCACCGTAAATGAACCTGCGCCCGCGCTTCCCAAGCCACGATCCCTTGTAAATGATGTTGCGTCCACTCTCCCTGGGCCACGACCCCTCGTAACCTACACTGCGTCCGCGCTCCCAAGGCCGCGCTCCCGAAAACAATCATGTTAGATACCCCCCTGGGTGGCCTGGACACGTAAAAACACGTGGGACCAGCTCCGGGCAACCATGTTAGATACCCCACTGGGTGGCCTGGACACGGTAAAACACGTGGACCTTGCTCTGGACAGTCGTGTTAGATACCCCCGTGAGTAGCCTGGACACGTAAAACACGTGGTCCTTACTCGGGACAGCCATGCCAGATACCCCCGTGGGAGGACTGGACATGTAAAAACACATGGTACCAGCTCTCGGCAACCATTTTAGATACACCCCTGGGTGGCCTGGACAGGGTAAAACACGTGAACCTTGCTCTGGACAGTCATGTTAGATACCCCCGTGGGTAGCCTGGACACGTAAAACACGTGGTACCAGCTCGGGACAACCATGTCCGATACACCCCCGGGTGGCTTGGACACGTGAAAACACGCGGTCCTTGCTCGGGACAATCTCATGTCAGATACCCCCTGGGTGGTTTGGACACGTAGAAACACCTGGTGCCAGCTCGGGACAACCATGTTAGACATCCCCCTGGCCGGCCCGGACATGTAAGAATACGTAGTTCCAGCTCGGGACAACCATGTTGGATACCCCCCTGACTGACCTGGGCCCTCGTGGGGCCTCCTGGACAGGGCCAATACATAGGGACACGCGTAAAAAGCACACGGATTCGTGCCTCTGACCCAACTGTGTCCCGCACCCTGTGAGTTATCGATCGGGATTTCAAAAACCAGGCTCGCTAGGAACATCCTCGAAATCAAATTCCGTCGGCCCTCTTTGACCTC